CAGGACTGAGTAGCACAGGTAGGGCTACTTTTGGTTGTGTGAGGACATCGACAGGCAGTAAGATGCACCCAGGATAGCCAGGATGATAGGATTTCCCTACCGCAATTCCACTCCTTTGGCTGTCAACACCTGTTCTGCCTTTTGGGTCCCTCACTCTGGAGAACAGGGGAACAATATGGCTTTGGTGTGCCTGTGAGTAGGGCCACAGCCTCGATGTTCTGTCTTCCCCTCAGCATGCACAGGGCCTCCAGACAGACAGTCACTGCTGGAATTGAAGCCCTTTGCACCTCTTTTCTGTGAATGGTTTCATTTTCCTTTAGTAAACAGACCTGAGACTTGGTGACTACCATAAGCATTGAGTTTTCTATTAGCAGCTCATGTGACTGAACGCCCACACATGCAGATGCTCATGGTCACAAGGGCTGCTTGGGACAACCCATTCTCTGATTTTGTTCCTATGATGAGTTAAAAAATGTTTCCCTGTAGTTTCTATTTGTAGGTCATGGCTTCTCCTCCTTTCCCACTGAACAAATTTATTCTGAATGCTTGAATACTGCTGACAGTCCTTGAATGCCAAATGCTGGAGCTATTTCTTCTGTAATGTGATTTTGTGCTCCTTCTCCTTCCTGGGTGAGTCCTGAGAGGAAAAGTGAGAAGTAGAAGGGAATAAGTGCTGTTCTTCACAGGCATTTACAGCTGTACATAGGAAAGAATAATCAAAACCATCATAATCCTGTATTCCTGATGAATTACTCATAGAAGATCAGCCCAGGAGAGGTCTGGTCATTTGAGCCATGAGATGGTATTTCTGGTGGATCTAAAAACTCAGTGATATTGTTTGCTTAATCATACAATCACTCATTCATACGCCCCTGGAGCTAACAATCATTTATTGGGTACCACGTACTAGGAATGGAAGAGCAAACAACTAAGATGTTCTCAATTATTCTCAAACAGCCTGTTGATAGCAACTGTATTCAATTAATTATCAGAGATTTCACCTTGATGCCAAGCCTGCAGGATGTGGGGATGGCCTTTTTGGATAATACCAAGACACTGTCTTGTAATTTCTGATGTGTTTCAAGTGTTAATGTCCTTTAGAGGAATACCCACATCCACACAGCTTTGGGCTTCCCCAGCCTATGCCTTCTGTCCTGTCTCCTTCCAGGTAAGTTTTTTTACTGATAATCTCTTAATTCCCTAAACTACTCTGCTTCTGAAACTCTCCCTTCCCACTCTTCTGGTCTCCTGGCTGGGAGTCTTCTAAAACGCTGAACACTCTCTTTCACTCTGTGATCAACTTCCCATACTTGAACTTTCTAACACTGTCCCTTCTCCCAGCCCTTCCTCATGAAGGACTTTGTTCCTACAATTTATTTCTCCTTCCTTTTCTGGTAGCCCCACTCCTGGTCTTCTCTAACCCTTCTAACCACTTGAGTTGGTCCCTCTGCTAAAGCCCAGGATTTCTGAGCCTCACACACTGGTTCTCTGATAGCACCCTGCAAGGATCTCACAACTAGGTATGTTGAAGCACTTACAAAAGTGGGTTTCCAACATAATTCTGTGAAGTTTATATTTTTATTGCCCTCACTGAGAATTTTGCTTTTAAGTGCCTGTTTCAGAACTTTGTTACATTTTAAATGCACAATACAACCTCCTAGACTAATGTCGAGCAACTTGCCTTCTACTTACACCCCCATGCCCAGAACTGTGACCATCAGGTACAGTGTCATAATTCTGTTCAAGTCCTCCTTTCCTTCTTCAGGCTGGTATATAGTGGTCTCCTAATGGCCTCCATGATTCACTCATGGTCTTCCTCCATTCCAACTCTTCCAGCTGCAGTCAAAACACTTGCTCTCAAATGCGTAACACCCTTCAGTGGTTCTCGTGGCTTATGGGAAAAGGTTCTCTCTAATTGGAAGAGCTGCCTTTCTTTTCTTCATGTTCATTAATCTCCTCTTTGTTTTAAAGTGAAAAAACAAGGAAACAGAATTTCAATACGAGATGCAATGGCAAGGAGAAACATCGAAATAACACCCAGGGTTTGGAGGTAGATTTATTTAGGTGGACAGGTACTGATTGGAATCACTACCAGAATATCAGGCCCTAATCTCTGGTGATCTAGGGCTTATCTCTGATAAGTAAGCAGGAAGTACAGAGGCAGAATGGCTTGTCAACTGGTGATTGGTTTACACAATGTACGTCACAGTGACCAGCCCTTTGTAAGAGCAGGAGCACCTGGAATGGAAACAGGAACTTACCTAGGCAACTATGAAGCTGAAGTATACTGCTGGGGGGCCATTTCTGTTACAGTAATAGAAGAGTAACAATGCTTAATACATTGCATATTGCTATCTTCAAAGCAGTTGCTCAGAGTACAAGACATAGGCATGCAACACCGACCAAATAGCATCATCACAAACCTTTCTTTTAATGAACTAACAGAAATGAGTGTATAACTAACTTAACTATCAAATGTATACATTTACTTTCCCCTTTCTTTTCTCCTTTCTCCCATCACAGATTTTCTTCCCTTTTCAGAAGTTTCTTCCCCTTTCACTATATCTGTTGTACATTTTGTATCTTATTTACTCTTCATCTTCCATGTTCTTTACTCTTAATACAATATTTAGTAGGGGAACTATTTTGGTGTTTCTCCCCGCTCTCCTTTTCTTTCACTCAGTTATTCATATGGGATGAAGGATATGTTCTAAACCACCGGCCTGTGCTCTGCAGTGGGTTGTCTGCCCATATGACACACGGAGGCCTTCAGTCTGCAAGTGTAAACTTAGTTGTCATGTCAGAGTCCTACAGCATGGAGGGAAAAGCATCAGACTGTGGATCCCACCTGCAATCTCATCTAGCTCCAACAGCAAAGCTGCTCTTTGAGGCCTGTTCTAAATTCTGTGTCTGTTTGTGCAATGCTGCAGACTCCAGAGAGGAAGGATGTGAGCAATTAGCACTTACAAACTTATCCCTAATGTACTCTCCATAGCTTCACTAAGCAGAAACTCATGACCCCTGACCGCCAAGCAGAATACGAGCCTGTGGTTCCTTAAGTGAGGGATGCTGCTTTTGTGCCTGTAGATAAACAACGAAGATCTCTTCTATTCTGATGCTCTACTTTGCTGACCTTTAACCCATGTGTACGGGCCATCACCTCTCTGAAGTTTTCCCTGATTGCCCCAAGTACAAGTGGTCATTTCTGATATAATGTCTGTAGTTTCTTTTTTTAAAAATGTATTTAGTAGAGTCTACAGGGTCTCCCTACACAGATCGGACTCATAGTGGTGGTGATCCCACTGTTTTAAGCCTCCCAAATGCTTACAGGAAAAGATCCTTTCTAATTGGAAGAGCTGCCTTTCTCTTCCAACTCCAGGTGCATGCTACCACGTCCAGTCTCAGTCACTGCTTCAGTGTGCCCCAGGGGCGGGGCTGGTAAGGCACGCCAGGGATCAAACCCTGGTCCCTGTATCTCCCTAAGCAGGTGCTCTAGGCTGCTGAGTGATCTGGCTGGCATAATGTCTGAAGTTTCTTACGTGTTCCTTTCTGTAAAGCATCTGTCTTGTTGTGCAGCAGTTTTCACATGTGATTGCATTATTACACCATTCTCCCTCCCTCCCTCCCCCCTCCCTCCTCTCTGTCTGTCTCTGTCTGTCTATCTGTCTGTCTGTCTGCCTTCCTCCCCCCCACACCCCCGGTGTTGTACTGGAGATTGAATCCATGGCCTTTGCACTGAACTACATTACTAGTCCTTTTGGTTTATTTTTTATTTTTTATTTTTAGTCCTTTTATTTTTAGTTTTTAATATTTTGGTATAGAGTCTGCCTAAGTCTCTCAAACTGGGTTTAAACTTTTAATCCTTCTGCCTCAGCCTTTTAGAGAGTAGATTATATTCTTTCCTTCATCTATGCACTTTCTCCATCAGTCACATTGTCAGTCATTCATAGATCTGAAAAACTATTTTTGAGTATAATAATAAATAAATGAAGACATAGAAGATTAAAAACCAACCCCTACAATGGACCATGCTCTGACCGAATATTACAAAGAAACTAAGATCTCCCAATATAGAGGAAAAATTACCCTGCTTGATATAGCTATAGTTGTGACAGCAGATGAAGTTGAATGTTTGGATAATCTAGAATTGAATGCTGCACACAATTTTGCCTAATACAGCACAGAGGTCCAGGAATAACTGAGGGTCTTGCTGCTTCTTCTCTGTTCATCATACTTAGACTGAAGACCAATTGAGTTCAGCAGTCTGGGCACCCAGGGACCTGCTGCCACTCAGTGCTGATGACAGGCTTCCATTGGCACACGTTAAGTATGAACCCATGTGATCAACCAGACCAGGCATTCTAATGTGAGAAGATTTACTGGGGGCATCAAGAAGGCTGGCTGTCTGGCAGTCCAAGACAGTAGTGAATAAAGAGGGGACAGGAGACTTTGTAGGATCTTTTAGGGAGGGTGATCATGGGCTGGAACAGCTGAGGGAGAGCTAATCTTGGCAGGGCTACCTGGTCTGGGGGTGACCTTTGATGTTAACAAAGGAGCGTTTCCTGGTTGCTTGCCCAGGTCAAAGTCAGGTGGACCTGTTCTGTGGTTTTAGGTTTTGGCTCTGCATGGGGCCAAGGGGGAGAGAGTTTGGGGGCAGGGTGCTGGGAAACCAAGAGGGAAAGTGTTTGGGGCAGGGTGCCTGGGAAACTTTGAGTGCTGATGTATCAGCACAAACACAAGCAAATAGCAGACCTACGATTGGACCTTTTGTCCAGTATGGATTGAAGGTAATAAAGCAGCTCTATAGGTGGAGGTAAGCACCTTGCCCCTGGATTACAGCCTGTAGGATGGGCCTTCAAGGCTATCTCTTGATTTTTTTCTGTCACTTGTGGCTTCCATATGCTCTGAGCACCTTTCTGAAATAAAGGAATCCCAGTTGGCCTACACCTTCCACAGTCCCTCCTTGGAGGCAAAGTACCATTTAGTTTTCTGATGAGAGACGGCCACTTGCCTTTCCCCATGAGAGCTGTTTGCCTTGCTTATACAGTGAAGAAGTGAAGCAGAGATGGGAGGAGCTTGGCTCACAGCAGAAGCAAATCAGAGCAGCTTGTTTACTTTTATTTACATATATATATTTTTTCTCTCTATCTGTTCAGTTACCTCCCTTCCTCTAGATTCTAAACATGCTGAATTCAGCAAATCCAGCTATAAGTTCTGTCTTTTGGGTCCTTGTTACTTACTAGTCATCTGATAAGGCTTCTGTTGCACACAAGGACCAGCCTCTTTTCCTCCTCTTAGCCCACTCATAACCAAAGCTGAGTACTACTGCTCAGGGCCTACTTTCAGCTTTAAGTTTCAACTTTTCACTTTTGGCTGTCCAGATCATGGCTCTGCGGTTCACCTTGGTCCTTGGTAAGTATCTCTGCTTCTGTTGATTTAGACTTCAGGCTTATCTGAAAATTTTAGAAAAATCCTTTCTGTACCCATATACAGATATCTTTCAAAGATGGCTTTCTTCCTCATTTCTGTATCTGGCAACTCTTCTAAATCCTAATAACACCTTTATTCAATCCAAATTTATAGTATACTTTGATTGCCAGCTGTTTTCTATTTTCCTGTATTTGTATCAACAGAATTATGGCAGCTTATCCCATTTCCCCTTTGAAATAACTATCTATTCATAACTATATCTATGAAGATAAGTGAGTCATGTGTAGTGGCAGATGCGTGTAATCCCAGCCCTTGGGAGGACTGTGAGCTTGGGCCCAGCCTGGGCAGTTTAGTGACTTAGTGAGATCTTGTCTCAACAAAGAAACAAACAAACAAACAAACAAACAAACCACAACAAATCCAGAAAACAAGCTAGAAAGGGGCTGGAGGTATAGTCTGAAGGACCTGGCTTTAATGCCCAGTACTTAAATGAAAGAAGACAAATAGATTCTGGGAAACTTCAGGTGGAACAAGGCAAGAAAGCAGAGCTGTGAGAGTCTCACCTTTCATTGATCAATTTGTGTGTTTTCCTCTGAAAAGTGATGCACCTAATTTTTCTCTAATTTTCCTGTTTCTTTTAACCTAGTTTAGGCTAGAAATGATCCCAGACAATATGGAGATTTGGGAGCCAAAGAGTGCTGTGTTTAGCCCTGGCTCTTTCATTTTGTAGCTGTCTGAATTTGTAGGTTACTATACTTCTCCGAAATCTTGCTCTTTAATTTATGAAGTGCAAAATAGTGTTACGTTCTTCAGAGGTTTGTTAGGAACCTTTTCATAAGATAACTAATATAGAGTATCTAACAAAGCCTGCTAAACCTCTACCTTAATCAATCATATCCATTTTTATTGTCTTGGTGATCTAGAACAGTGGTGGCAACCTATGGCATGCATGCTGCAGTGGGATATTTCTATCCCTGAAGGAGCTAAAAGGCTTGCCCTCATGGGTTCAGGGCATTACCAGAGCCATATGGGTCTTTCAACTTACTGATCATATTCCCAGTGTAGGGCGCTGGCTCTGTCCTAAACACCCTTATATCCCCCACAGCACCTGACAGCAAGTGCTGCCCCTCATGGATGTTCAGCTAAGCCCCCCATGTTCCTTCAAAGTCTCAGCTTCTTCTTCATGTCTTTCTGCTCTGTGCCACCTATAGTTGTCCACCCTGTGAGTGGACTCAGGTCATTGACTTTGCTTTCTCCCTTTGCACCTGCACCACAGGCACATTCACTTTTTGATTCGTGTATGTAGATTTTGTGTGGAAGGTTATGCAATGATTCATGTGTGGATGTGGATGATATAACCTTCAGTTTTATTTATTTATTTATTTTTTAGGTTGGTATTTTAACATTTATTAAAATAATACTATGGGTTAATAGAAACATCAAAGAACCAAAGAACTAAAATGTAAGCTATATAAAATCCCAACTAAAACCCAGAAGTATCTAATATATTTATTTATCAGCTAACTAAAAGCCCAAAGAGGACAAGACACCCAGTATAATAAAGTAGTGCAAAACCATTGGCAATTCTCAGTTATCTAAAATTGTAAATTTTGCATAACCTTTAGTTTTAGACAGCTGATGACAAGGCTTCACTGAGTGCGAGGGTAGGTGCCTAATGAGAATTAAGGTCATTAAGTTAATGAAAAGTTATTTGCCAACAAGAGAAGGAAATATTCTAGCACTAACCAGTAAAATGTTTGAATCTGCCTCACAAGCTCTGGAGTGGAGGTCTAAAGATACTTGCTGCCTAGAAAAATCCTATAATGTAGAGTGAGTTAAGCTGTAAGTGTTGAGAGAGTTACATAGCTGAAAACTCATAGCCTCAAGGACTACTGAAGGTCACAGAGCCTAGGACTCTCTTTTTTTTCCCCATAATTTTATTGATAAACAAATAGCAATGAGACTGTTTCAAATCAAATTGGTAGGACAGTTTCAATAATTAACACACTGCATACATTCTTCCTAGTGGTTAATTGCTGTACAAGATGTGGACATGAGATCCTATTTACAAACACCATTAGAACAAATCACTCTATTCACTAAGAGAATGAAACTATATATCTATCCTAACCACTTTGAATACAGATACAAAATGGACATTCATCTGTATCCCTTTTTTTGTTAAGTTCCATTATTTGAATGAGCCTAGGACTCTCTAGCATTAAGAGAAAGCCTAGAAGGCAGAGGAGCTGCACCAGAGATCTTATAGAAATAAACAGAAAAGACTATGAAACACAGTGTTCCTAGATTATGCTTAGTGCTTAAATCTGGGAATTTGGAAGTAAATGTAGTCTTGCACTGCTAACTCAGGTGTCAGCAGGCTAGGAATGACTTTTATATTTTTTCAATTGTAGGGACAAAAGAGAAAGAAAAAATAATATTGAATGATGCATGAACATTAAGTAAAATAAGATTTAAATTTGTGCGCATGAAGGTTTGTTGGAACATAACCATGTGTCCTGGACCATAAATACATGGCTGCTCGTGTTATAAGAGCAGAGCTGAGCAGCTGCAGCAGAGAACATGAGGCCTACAAAGCCTAAGATATTTACTTTCTGGATTGGTATAATAGGACACTGTTGGCCCCCATCTAAATGCAGTGATGGTGAACACAGTGAAACTCTCCACTGTTCTCTCATCTCAGCACTGTCTTGATGGTTCCCTTAGGTTTCACTAGAGCATCTTTCCAGCAGCCTCCTGTGCTCTTTACTATTGAGCTGAGAAGCTGAATCACCACCTTTCTACTTTGGCAATTACAACCAATCAGTCCCATTGACTAGAAAACCAAATCTACCTGTGCCTGGGTTGAGCCACAGAACATGTAAAGGGAACAGGGTGGGTCAGTTAGCTGTGGGAATATGGGTCTCCGAGGTTCCTGGCCTGTGTCCTTTGAAGCAGGCCATGCCAGGAGAAGAAGGTCATACAGGCTCTATACCTACCACTCCAGTCTTCTCAAGAAGGTTAACAAGTGCCTTCTTCAGAGTTGAATGCTTTGAGTAAAGCTTTAGAAATTTAGTCCATGATTTCACTCACTTCCTTTTTTCTTCCCTAGCCATTTTCACCGGACCTGGCCTCTCAGGTAAGATTTGGGGTTGGTAGGTTGGAAAGAGGGATGTCAAGAGACAAGTTTCTAGGCTTCCAGACTTAGGAGAGGGGAAAATGCGAAACTTCCTGGGCCATGAAGAGAGACTATAGTTCAAAATGGGTCCAGTAACCTCCTTTCTGATTTCCTACTCTACTCTACCACCCTGATATAGGCAAATTCACATCTCTGGGACCTGGAATATTTAATTGTGGTTTAACTTGCCAAGGGACCTCTTCCCACGTTTTTTCTGTGACCCAAGAAGCTCGTGCCTTCTACAGAGTGGAATTGAAATTCCCTCATCCAAATGAGAGAAGTGCATTAAGGTGCAGAAGGCAATTTATGCATGTCTTAGTCTCGTCACCACTGGGACAAAATACCTTAATGATACTTTAAAGGAGGAGAGGTATATTTTGGCTAGTGTTTCCAGTTAGTGGTTAGCTCACTCCAAGGCAGACATGGCATGTTGGAGGAGCCTGGGCAGGGGATGGCTGTTCTTCCCATGGCTTCCAGAAAGGAGAGAGAGAGAGAGAGGAGAGAGAGACAGAGAGAGAGAGAGAGAGAGAGAGAGAGAGAGAGAGAGAGAGAGAGAGAGAGAGAATGAGCCAGGGACAAGAATATCCTTGGGCTCCCAGGTCATACTCCCAGTAGCCCACCTCCCACCAGGACCTACCTGCAAGTTAGCTACCTGCCCTATGTATGATCCATTAACTTCTTGTATACATGAGAACATGACGGGGATGCTTCAGATCCTCTGTGTGCATAGCTGAAGAAAGAAATTCCTTCTGCCCTGCTGGTTTTCAGCTGAAGTCGACCTCCCTGACATCCTTACTGGCACCTTTAAGTTAGAAATACATTTGTTCTGTGCAGCTTGATTAGTGGAGGGCGGAATAGATTTCAGCCTTATTGAGGTGTTGCTCAACAATGTACCAATTTCACCCCCAAGAAGAGGATGGAGCTGCGCAGAAAGAATGAGACCATGGAAGAAGGCTTTGGGTGGTCTAAACTCAAGGGGGTGGGCTGTCTTTGTGGATTACTGTTTCTTCTACCCTATACATCCAATCTTTCACTTGATGGCAGTAGCCTTACCTATGAATTGCTCTTGGTGTGGAGGATCCCTGATGGATGCAAGTTGATTCCTTAAAGATGCTGCTTCTAAGATATCATCACCACACACAGATTTCTTGGTCTTTTCTCTTGGCCTGCAGGGCTGTTGTTTATTGTCAGTGCAGGCAGGCAATGGCTCTCTTTATAGCCTCTCTACTTCACAGCTGTTGTTCCCTTGGGCCCTTCTTTTAAGCCTTTGCTAATAAAGTAAGCTGCAGATCCTGCCAAGGTCATGGCTTCCCCCAGGACACCCCTCCCCCGACCCTTCATCTTTCACAACTTTTCTCAGCTTTCTATTCCCACAGGCTAACTTCCTTTTACAATCATTCTTTGTTTCTTTTTTGCTTATTTCTTTTGTCCTGGGAACTGCTCTAGTCTTCTACTCCATCTTTGGGTTCTTCATTAAAACCAAGAGTTTTACTAATTAAAATGAAAAAAAAATCCATAAATAAACCTAATACTAACTATTTACTGGAATACACAGTAATGTCAACCAAAACTCTACTCTTAGATTCAATGACCAAAGATTATTTCTCAGTGACTTGAATTACATTTTATCCAGATGTATACCTTTTAAACTCAAGCGTGTGACAGTGGATATTTATTTTAGTTTTTGTGGTTAAATCTCCAGTTTCTATCTCTGGTCTTCATTCTTTATATTGCCCTCCCCTGCAAAAAATATAAAGAAGGGAAACAAAAATAAGTCAACCGAACATACACTTCTCAATGCACTTTAAAATCAACCAGATTAGGGTTTTCTCACTCAATCACTGCTCCTGGGTTGATTCCAGCTCCTGGGGAATTTGTGCAGAGCTGAGACAAGGGAACAGTTGGAAATGAGGAGTCACATTTCATCCATAAAGGCATCTGGGTCACCCCATGTAGCTCAGCATGGCCTCTAGTAAAGCTATTCACGTCCCATTAGAACACAGAGCACCAGTCCAAATGTGGCCTTTCCTGGTATTCCAGACCTTTCTCAGCTAATTGTTCCAGTGTAAAAAGAAGTGGCAGAGTCAGCTCTCAACTATCCTGCTGTGAGGCGCCAGTAGATTTGCTGAGATTGCCTCAAGAACTCTTAAGCACTTTGAGGACATAAATCAAGAGTTTGCTCATCCCTGTTCTCTGAGTTCATAACGCAATACCTGAAACCTACTCTGTGTTCAACACATGTTGTCTGATGGGCTCAGCTTACTTTACACAGCCAGTCCCACCTCACTTCTATGTTTTTTGCAGGAAATCAGGAAACAAAATCAGGCTTTTGATTCTTGCATCTGTAGGTTCTGGGGTACATTTTTGTTACCTCCTAGAATCCTCTACTGAAATTATTTGGGCTGTGAGACTCTCAAGCTCAGACTCTTCCCTTGATTTGTGCTTTTCCTGTTTCTTCTGAATCAGGGGCTTGGACAAAGGATGTTGCCACAGGAAGCAGCAATAATGGGTAGGGTTGGGTCACTGACTGTGGAGAATGAGGTTGTTCTCTGTACATTATGTAATTATGTTCAAGTAAAATTATGTAAACTGTGCTTCATTTTGGCTACTGTGGAGGGAGTTAATCATTAGACATGATCTTACATCTACATTGCATCCTGGTGCTTCTATTATTAAACAGTGTAACCACAGGATTATCATTTCCAAGAGGATCTTTTCTCTCATCTATGAAATAGTGCGAAGCTGTGATTACTCTACCAGCCTTTCTAATTCTGATCACCAGAGTTTAAAAATTCTACTGAATCAATCTATTTCCCTTAACCTGAAAAGGCCAGCAGTGACATCTAAGTGTCTTGAGGTGGAGTTTCTTCATTAGGGCTTAATGAAGTACGTAGGAGCACTGGAGCTCAGAGATGGAGCCCTGCAACTTCCTCCTTCTCCTTTGACTTCTCCTTTTGAGTTCGTTAACTTGTCACATTCTCTATAGATGTGTCCATGGTTGACGGAGAAAGTGCATCTCTGAGCACCCGCAGAGCTCCTCCCAGGTCTGCAGCCAATATCTTGTCTCTTTGCAGAGACTCCTCCTAGAGTACGACTGGTGGGAGGTCCCCACCGCTGTGAAGGGCGAGTAGAGGTGGAGCGGAATGGCCAGTGGGGCACTGTGTGTGATGACGGCTGGGACCTGGAGGATGTGGCTGTGGTGTGCCGAGAGCTGGGCTGTGGAGCAGCCAAGACATCCCCTAGCGGCACTGTGTATGGGCCTTTGGCAGAAAATAATCAGAATGTCCTCATTCAAAATGTCAAGTGCAATGGGATGGAAAACACACTGGCCCAATGTGAACAAGATGAAGATGTTTATGGTTGTGGACATGAAGAGGATGCAGGGGCATCATGTGAGAGTAAGTATGGTGGCTCTTAAGGAGCATGTAACAGCTAATGTAGCCTATGCACCTGCTTTTCTTGGTCTTCATTCCCTGTCATGGGCTTTCACACTGGCCAGTAAGCTCTCCATCACATCTCACTTGTGAGCCCCGGAGATCATAATATTCTTCCCCAGAATTTTTACTCCTACTAATAGTTTCCTTTTAGTGTCAACCTATGAAAGAATAGCTTTCCTTGTGCATACACATGAAATTAAACATACACAGCACAACTAAACTTTTTTAATATTAATTTTATTGAGAAAGAAGTAGCAATAAGACAGTTTCAAAACAGGTTAGTAGGACAGTTACAATGATTAATACACTGCATACTGTTGTCTTTGTAGTAGTTATTCATAGTACAAGATGCAGA